CCCGGAGGCTGCCCGGCAAAATTTGGCCAAATCGACCCGCGCATTTCTCATCGCGTACGACGAGCAGCCCGATTTGGCCAAATTTTGCCCGGAGCCTGCCCGGCAAAAATTGGCCAAATCGAACCGCGCCTTTCTGGAGGCCGGAAATTATTTAATTGTTATCGCGTACGACGAGCAGCCCGATTTGGCCAAATTTTGCCCGCAGACTGCCCGGGAAAAATTGGCCAAATCGAGCCGCTAGTTTTTTAATAGTTTGGGAGGCTTTTTAAAAGTTGAAACTATTAAAACTATTAAAACTATTAAAACATAAAAAGGAAAAAGCCTGGCCTGGAGATTCCTGAACTTTTAAAACTTTCAAAACTATTAAAACTATTAAAAAGGCTTCTTTTTAATAGTTTTAATAGTTCGGGAGGCTTTTTAAAAGTTGAAACTATTAAAACTATTAAAACTATTAAAAACTATTAAAAAGAAGCCTTTTTAATAGTTTTAATAGTTTTAAAAGTTTTAATAGTTTTAAAAGTTCAGGAATCTCCTGGGCAAGGCCGTTTCTTTTTAATAGTTTTAATAGTTTAGGAGGCTTTTTAAAAGTTGAAACTATTAAAACTATTAAAACTATTAAAAAGAAACCTTTTTAAAAGTCTTAATAGTTTTAATGTTTTAAAAGTTTTAATAGTTTCAAAAGTTCAGGAATCTCCTGGCCAAGGCCGTTTCTTTTTAATAGTTTTAATAGTTTCGAAGCCTTTTTAATAGTTGAAACTATTAAAACTATTAAAACTTAAAAAGGAAAAGGCCTGGCCTGGAGATTCCCGAACTTTTAAACTTTTAAAACTATTAAAACTATTAAAACTACTAAAAAGGCTTCTTTTTAATAGTTTTAATAGTTCGGGAGGCTTTTTAAAAGTTGAAACTATTAAAACTATTAAAACTATTCAAAAGAAGCCTTTTTAATAGTTTTAATAGTTTTAATAGTTTTAATAGTTTTAAAAGTCTTAATAGTTTCAAAAGTTCAGGAATCTCCTGGGCAAGGCCGTTTCTTTTTAATAGTTTTAATAGTTTAGGAGCCGTTTTTAAAGTGTAAACTATTAAAACTATTAAAACTATTAAAACTTAAAAAGGAAAATTAAAGTTTTAATAGTTTAGGATGTTGTTTTGAAAGTTCAAAACTATTAAAACTATTAAAACTTTAATACAGAAAGCAGCCATGTCAAATAGTACATAGAGGTTCCTCTTACATATATATATATAGGCTGAGGGATCAAAAAAACAAACAAGTATCTACAACAAAAACCAAAATCGCACAATCAAAAACCAATAAGTGCCGACATAAAATCAAAGCCTTATATTTGCGTTGTACGAGGGAATACCAAGATTCCGGTTCAAAACGCAAAATAAGGATGCAAAATTCAAACCCCATGTTTCCTCTAGATTGTACTATGGTATACAACAATATTTACAATCAAGGCAGGACCAAAGTGTAGCAATAGCACCAATAATTATCGTGAAAGCAAGAATAGTACTAGCAATGCAATCTGCAATAAGAACAATAATAACATTTAGTCGTTCCACCTATCATACTACGCATACTCATCGCAAGAAAAGTAGTAATGTTAATCCTGGTACGGGAATAGAATAGATTTATAGTACTACCAGCAAGACTGATCATCTTAGCAAGAATGTTAAGAAGAGTAGCACGTAATGAATAATCATAAGACTGATCTTAGCAAGTTAAGTAATAATGGTCTTAATAATCGGAATAGTGGTAGTTGTACAAATACCATAGTACCAATAGCAATAGTGGTCAGAATGGACATAGCACTAGCAAAATGACGCCAGTGGTAAAAAAAAAACAGAATAAGAACAAACATGTGAATCGTAATCAGTACAGTGAATTACTCTCAGGCTTTGTTTTCTTCGATCCAGCCAAGCTGCTGCTTTCCACGTTGGCAGCAGGTGCTCCAACGCCTGCATGAAACCAAATGATGCAGCAAGTGGTGGCATCTTACGGGGTTGCAAGCACCTACGGCCGGTCAGTTTTTTGCGATTTCTTCGTTGATGGTGCTAGGGCGTCGCCGGTTCATGATGTGGTGACAATGTGGTGCACTTTCGTTCTCGGCCTGCGGTGTCTCGCTTTGGATATAACAGCTTCCAGCGATTCCAAGCGGCGGGTCAAAGAACCAAACGCATTGCACTTTACTAACTACACCCTGGCATGCACCATGCCTCTGCCTCCTGGCTTCCGCACTTGCGCTGTTCAACCTGTGCCTTGATGACTACGGACCCCTTATCTCTCTTCACCTTCGCTTTCGTGCGCGCGGATTGAAAGAGCGTGGAATGGCTGGGGGCGAACCCCGGCCGGCCGGTTGGGCAAGGCGGCCTCCCCAGCTCTACAGGCGCCTTGTGTTTTCCTGGCTGGTTACCTGCCTCTCCCCTCCTTCTCTGCGTCGCTCTTCATCGTCTTCTTCATCTGATGCACTGCAACTAGCCTGTTCTGTTCTGCCTTTTGCGCTGTCTTTCCAAGGTTTGTGCAAACTCAATCACTGCCCTGCCCTCTCTGCTGGCTAGTTGATGGAGCCGCGCCTCTCCAGACCAAGCTACAACGGCTGCCGCAAAGTCTCGGTCGCTTAGCAGCTCCTGCACAGTTCTGTGATGTTCTGTGACGGCGCATGATCGCCAATGATGCATCTGGACAGCAAAGATCCGAGCACAGCCCAGCCACACCGCTCCGGCGCAGCAAAACGAAGCACGGCCTTGTCCTGACCACTACTGCTTCATGACGAATCTTTAGCCGACCACTAGGAGTTGCAACACGATGGATCATGAATCTTCACCGTCATATGGCTTCTCATTTGACTTCGCAAGCTCGCTACAGTGGAGCTGTTCCAATTGCGGGTCTCTCAGGTCAGGTGCACACGGCTGTGTCCTGCTATAGGCATCTGTAGGCTACTTTCTATGGTTTCGGACTATGACTTCCTATTGACTGCACTTGAGAAACATAGCATGGAGTACTTTAAGACCCCCGGATCCCCAAGTGCACACCACACGCACAGTGAGCTTGGAAACCATGAGCCCGCTCTGACTGGGTTTGTGATGGTACGGAGTACAGTCGGCATGCCATCTGGAACAGTGCCCTGCACAAGCCTCGCGTGACCTTGCGCGAGGGTCACGCGAGTTGGGGCCATACAACGGCATGCCGCTATCAGAAAACATTGGATCCCAAGTGAAGTCTCAGCCGCTGCATCATGAGGCCATGTCAAATGCTTTCGAGGTCCCGCATTCTGACATACTTATTGTTTTATTGTGTGCTGTATCGGCCGACAACGCGTGAACCCGACGCAGAACCTCTGGCAGATGCCGGAAAGCCTCTGCACATCACGCCAAACCACCGAAAGCAACAAGACAACAAGACAAGTAGATCATGCCAAAGGCAGCAAGCGGAGTCGACTTAGGGCAACTACTACGTTAGGTAGTTCCCAAGTCGCAGCCGAGATTCTCGTTGCATTGCTGCTAAGACGACCTCGTGATCTCTCTTCATGGCGTCTGGTGCCGAGCTGAGTTCCCCAGACCGGTGGCGGACTCGGGCAATCCTTACTGTGCGACTGAAAGTCCCCATACGTCTTCAAATCGCCCTTGCCAACAAGCCACCAGTGTTCAGCTTCCTCTGAAACAACAATCCGTGTGAAGGTGACCTGCTCATCCATCAACACATCACCAAGACCTCAGGCTGATTACCATGGCTGCCACACGACAGTCAGACGCTGCGGCCAACCCCCTTGAAATCATCTGCTGACTGGTCCATGGCACGGTCTGACTCACGAAGTGCAGAAACTCCTGACAGTAGACGCTGTTGGCGCCGTGGCACACCCAGCACCTGCTAAGGCTGCTAAGGGCATCTCTGAGGACCATTGACCGACAGGCTTTCACCACTTGACAAAGACTGGAGCGCTTGCCCATCGTCTGCTTCGAAGTGCGGCCGTAGCAGCTAGACTAAACAACACCTGTTGGATCTGTTGGTGAGTGCCGTGAAGTGACCCTGCTTCTTTACAGCTGCCCGCTCGTAGGACAGCTTCAGTCATGTAACTTCAGCTCATGCGCATGCAGCTGCACGCGCCATGCAAAGCAATATATAACATAGATAATAACTTGTACAAGGTTTCGCTTTACCTCATCCGACACTTGGGCAGAAACTCCCTCACGTCCGTCGTTTCTCTATGATGCAGGGAAGGTGGCACAACTCACCACAGGGGTCAAATCTGTCATGCACTAGGCAGTCCAGTCCCGGCAGCGAGTAGTAATGTACCGTGGAATGTTGATAAGATCTGCATCTGAAGGATCCAATTGCAACAGCAATTGCAACAGCAATTGCTGCAGCAAATGCTGCAGCATAGCTGCCCCACCTTCGCCAAGGCCATCTTCAATTCTGCGATGGTCCAGTTCTGATCAGCATTGATGTTGCCTCAGATGCCAAAGTCGAACCAACCTATGCCCACAACAATTGTTCCCACAAAGTATCACCAAGTGCAAAAACAGCATGCTCCGATGGCCGCCGCTATTTGCCTTTTGGTGAGCACTTGGCCAAAGACATGCAGTACGAGTGCATATGGAGTGTGTGCGAAAGAGCGGCAAAGCGGTCCGCTCAGATTGTTGATCTTCACGACAAGAGACATCTCCAGCATAGGAGCTTGGGGCCCGAAGATCTCCGAGAGCTAGGGTGACTGAAAGGGTGCTCGCGCTTGGCGAGGAAAGCCTATGCTAAAGCCAGCCGTGCCGACCGTAGAGCATGCCCGATCCGCCCTGAGCAAAGCCAGGCTCCATGGGAAGGAAACTACACGGCTGTCGAGGAAATGACATTCTGCGCACCCTTGGAATGGCAGCGGCATTCGAAGACCAGGGTGCGGAAACTGGTGCACCAGGCATGTCACTCTGCTACACAAGTTGCCAGGCATAAGCGCATAAACATGACCTAGTCGTCTGCTGTTGCCAACCAGTGCTGAGGCTGCCACTGTTCTGTCGCTGCCGACTACCATCAAGTGGGAGGCCTGTTGTTCCAATAGCCATGCAACAACTAGGTCTTGCCTTGCTGGACGAGACTCAGGCTCTACACTCACTAAACTCTGTCTTTTCATTCCGTTCGGCTGGTCACTGAAATAGAACTATAGCAATGCATTGCCGGGCCTGCGGAGAAAAACAGATGTCGGTGACCTTAGAGTGACATCAAGAGACCCGGTGCCACTGCCAAAACTCGGTCCATCCTGGAGCCCGACAGCGTAGCCCTCACATGCAGAGATTGCCATCTCTGGACCTCACGGTCAGAGGCGTCGCTCTTTCTACACATGTCGCACCACACGGACATACGGGGTGCGTGTTGAGCCACGTCCATTCAAGCCATCACCGACAGCCCTCTGAGGCACTGCAGTGTTCCAGGGGTGGCCCTGCCGGAACTTGTGCACGACTGTGGCCTTCTGAGGAATGAATCCATGATGAATATTCCCGAAATCATGCGGAACATCGACGAAAACTCGAGCAGCCAAGCCATTGGCCAGAGCCGGCAGATCGCGGGCGGCTGGCCCTGCCCAGAGATGCGGGCAACTACTCACCATGAGCAGAACCGGCATGTGACCATCAACGTTCAGCGTTCTTTTGTTGCATGACCTCTGGCCAGGCTTTGGTGGGCCAAAGTCGGGCTTTGACGACCTCAGGGACACAGCCTTCTCCAATGTCTATGGCGGCTAGGGATCATGGGACCACGGATTGCCAGTGCATGGTAGGTATCCGAGGCCGACTCGCGACAGATCGTGCATTCAACCGTGGCTTCCCAAGCACCTCACTCAAGAGCCAAAAACACAGGCAGAGCTTCTTCGCTGGGACAGCCCGTCCACCCTCGGCCTTGTGATGATTTTGACAGTTGCTGAGCCGAAGGCGCGTGGAGCCTCTGTTGGAGGACCGTACCCCGCAGATTTCACCTCCAAATCGTAAGGCTGAAAGCTGATTAAGGACTTGCTACGACTATTCCGCCGAGCGCGCAGGCCTGAGGCGTCTGCGTTTAAATCTTACCCAAAGGCTGCAGGCTGCATGGCCCGTCGTCCAAAAGTGTGTTTTGTGAACAGCCCTCAAAACTGGACCTACGCGCTTCCCAAAAAAAAACACCTTCTGAGATGTGTGGGGGATTGGTGCACCAAGCCTGTAGGCCCCTCAGGATCCTTCTGTACCGAGCCCCGACAAGGGGGGGGGGCCCTTTTAGGGACCTCAGGCAGCGCTGGACCCCTGAGCACATTCAGGGATGGGTCTTCGGCTAGGGGCTGCCTGCCGGAATCTGTTGGCAGCCGTATTGAGGAAGTCCCATATGATTGCCCCGCAGCAAGGCCAAGGCGGTAGTGAAATCGGTCAACTGCGTCCAGTGCATGGGCCATTTTTTGTCTCCGCATTGCGGTTCTGCAGGCTTTACGTGCAGCATCCAGGCGAGCAACTTAAACTCACCAAGAACCGCATGGTTGGTTTGAGCATTGTGGTCACCCACCATCATCTAGGAAAAACAGCTATCATGACAGTCGACGAGGGTCGATGCGATCACATTGCGGTACTACGAGTACGCATCGATAACTGCTTTGCCATGAAATTGCTGATGGTTTTGATTGAATGCTCAGACTACAGGGCCGCTGGCCTGCAGTGCCTGCAACACTGCGGGCGTTTATTGACATTCGCCGGAATGGTCCAACAATTGAGCACTCGTGTCTGTAACTCTGGTTGAGGGGCTCAAACGTTTACAATCAGAGCTAAGTGTCGATACTGGGCCTCTGCTTTCCGTGCTCGGTACTATTTGGTGAGCCATGGGCTGGGGGGTCTTTAGATTGTAGGCCTGTGAGAGTACGTGAATCTTGCGGCTTACGAACTACCCGGGGCCTACGGTAGCTCCAGCCGAGGTAACTCAAATTGCCAGAACAGCAACGCGAACAAATATCGCTTGGACTGACCTTTTGGCATGTCCAGCGCTTCTGAGCCGCGTGCACACATGATCGCCCATGTTCACGAAATGTCATGGATGCGATGGAGACTTGAACAACTCTCCACGCTTATACCGGAGGATGTACCTTCATGGCGGTGTTGGACGCAAGCAGCTCAACGCGACCAGCTTTCCCGTCAAAACCCAAGCACACATAGGGCAGCTTAGAACGGGGCTCGGGGTACACATTCTCGGTGTCAAACCTCCAGCCGTGCAACAACTCGTCGTTCGAGCAGCTATGAGTCGTGCAGACTGCAACTCATTGAACCGAGTACCATGCACAATGAATTCGCGGTACGTGCCGGAGATCTTGACGCGGTCACCGAGGATGCAATCATAGTCCCTCAGCTTGACGTTCCACCGTGCGCATTTTGCTGATCCTTGCACCTCTTCGTCTTGAATCTTGCATGCCATGTAGTAGCACCCACCCAATGCACCAGAAGACTCTTAGAGCTTCTGAAAAAACTGAGAATGCGACCCCTGCGTGCACTCGCGAGTCAAGGCATCAGGATCCGGACTCCTGCACAGTCAACCCCTGCATGCTGTCTAGTAGCACATTGTGCTTGCAGCTGCAGCTGCCTCTCATCCGTGTACCTCACACGTCCTCCAAGCACGCGGCCTCAGTTTACACCAACGGGGAGGTGATGGCTGCTTCCCAACACCGAGCTGCTATCAGCCGTCGACAGCAGTACACCAAGGACAAAGATGGGCAATCCTGTGCTGCACACATAGAAGGACAGTGTAGAGGCCGTCCTCTTCCTTGGCATACTCGTCTGCCTGGAAGAACTCGAAACAATGCATCGAGGAGGTTCAAGCAGTTCAAGCCTGCCTTCGTGATGGACTCCGCAAGGTAAGAGCCTCGACCTCTGTGTCTTTGGGGTGATCTCATTGCAGTTGGCTTGTTGCTGGTGTGCAGTTGTACCCAGTAGCCGAAGCCTGCAAGGTCGAACGGCCGGCCCAGCATCTTAAGAAGATAGCCCAGAACCCGCAGCCCTAATGCACACGACTTCCATGGAATGCCGCCAAGAGAACGACATATCACCCGCACTCTATCCGCAACCCGAGCGATGCCCCGGCCCTCTCCCTGTCATAGCCGGACCTTGGTCACTTATGTTCTTTACTTGAACGGGACAGTAACAGCCTGATGCTTGTCCTCAACCTTCTAGCCCAACTGCTAAGCTGGCCCTGATTCCAACGATGCCCCAAAGTGCCATCAGTGCTTCTTGAAGAGGCCTCATGGGGCGTTCAACGGCTACACTCTCCAACCTCAAATGTGTGTCATGCTGTGGGCCATGCTTTCTTGTTTGCGGTCAATTGAAGCAGGTTCGAGAAATGCAGGCACAACCAGAATTCTCATGCCTCAATGCATTTGCTCAGAGATCGTCGCTTTTTTCAATCCATGCCTTCTAAATCCAGCATCGAGGCCGTCGAGACTTCTGGAGGGGAGTCTGGACCAGCACATGTGTTGTGAGTGCTTCGAGTGCTTTCCATGCCGTCAACACCGTCAACTCCTGTCCCTGGCTTGGCGTCATTCCGGTCAACTGGCTCGTCCAACGGCTCTGAGGCTGTGGCCTCCTCTTTCGGCTCCTGCTGCTCCTTCTTCTGCAGTCTCTCGGGGACGTGCTTTGCACAATTGCCACGACCATTGATAACTTGCAGGCGCTTCTTCTCCGCCTCATCAATCACACCAGCCTTGAAGGCCTCTTTGATGCATTGCGCAAAGTTGCCGCGGATCTTGTCGTAGGATGGGTTTGTCAGCAACAGCTGCTTTAGCTTGTCGTGCTCTTCACACTGCTTCCGAAAGGCTTCTACTTGCAGCTCCCTGTCTGGAGGTGCAAGAGTACGCTCTGAGGTTGATCCCGTAGAGCCGTCTGGAGTGTTGCTGGTGGTGAGAGTTTGGTCATTAAAACCTAGCTGTTCTAAAGCAGCTTGTGCCGCTAACTGCTCTGCATCGATCTTTCGTCGTCCCATGTGACGTGACTGCACTGTCTGGGTCCCAATCTGGACTGTGGAAAAGAACCCGCCACGTTTGTCAGGAGCTGTATTGTAGGAAGGCATCGTATCTGAAGTCTGCAGCGCGGCCTGTTGTAGTCGTCCCTTCCAGTCTTGGCCTGACTCGCTCTCGCGAGGAGCAATCTCCGGGTGCAAGCTCAAGTGCCGCAATGCTGCTTCCGCTGCGCTCTTCTGCGCTGCAGCCTTAACTTTTTGTTTAAGGTTCAGGGCTTAGGTTTTCGGATATTTGGGTTAAGTTGTAAGGCTTAGGATCCGCCGACCCTGGCGGCGTGTTGGATGGCTTTGGGAGTTGAAACCTCCCTTTCCCCCCCCCCCCCCCCCTACCCCTACCCCCCCCCCCCCCGCCTTGTTTAAGGAGAGCTCGCCTGGGATAGGATCCAACTGTCCAACTCGAGCCATTGCCCGAAAGCTTCCTCGCATATCTGCTGACACGTCGAACATCACGGCATGCTGCCCAAACAATGTATACAGCTGGCCTTTGGCATTGTCTATCCCCATTGCTGGTGGATCCTGTACTGGAGGTTGGAGAGGATCGGGGATCTTTCCCATCTTTCCCTGCGGTACCACGTGAATTGGACTGTGGCTTTGCACACTTCTCCAGCGCGGCTTGATTGAGTCAGGGTCCTTAGCGATCTTTCCTTGCCTCTCCAGCTCGTACAAGTGTGGATTAATATCGCGCTTGCGTGCGCTGCCATCATGCCTCTCAGCAAAAAACGATCGAACATCTTCCGTCGCTGTCCATCCGTTTTTCTCACACAGGAAGCGGCAGATTTCAGCTTGCACGTCCATTCAAGATTTCGTGGGCACAGGCAAGGAAATCCCGCAGCCGAGACTACGTTGCTGCTATTGCACGTGCTGTTATGTTGCCGACCTGCTGCTACAGGTGAATTGCTTGCGTCTGCAATTTTGATGTGCCACTGGTGTGTTGCGTGGTGACCATGTGCCAGTGACATGCTGTTCCACACCTGCGCGTCTATCTCCTGCAGGAAGCACGGCAAAGTGCACAACGAGCATGCGTCGCTTCATGATGGCGGAGGAGCACGTCGATGTAACTGCTGTTTACTGTTTACTGGTTATAGTAATGGACTACGAGCCAAAGCCATGTTCTTGCAGCAGTGGCTGAGGCCCTTGTTTGCAAACAAGCTGCCGTACAAGGTTCCCGTTGCGCTGCCCGCAAGCCTCATTTTGAAGTCTGACCTGGCAGGAATACTTCAGGAACACAACGGACATGCTGACGTTAGCTTGAGTTCCAAACTGCACGTGTAGCGGCTCCAAGTAGTGACTTAATCGCTTCCCGTGATTCCCGTGACTATTAAAGTTTGGCAGCTATACACAAGCTTGGAGACTCCAAGTACTAAGCCAACATGCAAAGTACACCTGGACCGAGTTGACATCGCGTGCCCCTTGCGGGCCTGCAGATATTGTGGGCAGCTGAGCTGCTGGTCCCATGCCAAAGGTACCACCTCAATGCCCGTGCTCATAAAATCAACGTCAGGAAAGAAATAGGCATAAGGCTGCAGTTTCTTCGGAACATGGAACGCCAGCCGGTACTTGGCTTCAGGCTCATTTATGTCAGCATCTAGCCGCTCACCGTAGGCAGCCCAGAACCTGGTAGTCAACACCTTGACAGGCCACTTCGGCACCAATGCCCAGGCGCTCTCACGCGAACTGAGCTCTCTATGACCCTGTTAAGCGAAGCCGACTTTGAATCGCGCCGACTGCACGCGGCGCATAGCTGGGCATAGCTCGAGCACCCTCGCGCTTGGTCCCACACGTCATTGAACACCTCAAAAGCTGCTTTCAGTGTCTGACTCACATCCAAGGTACAACGTTTGCAAAGCATGCCGGTCACGTCCACGCTCACTGCCACATGAACGCCAACTGTGTCGCAATGCACTCGGCCTTCCAGTCGAAGCCACAGTCGGTGGCGGCTTTCTTTTCCTGACCGCA